TTGAACACTCCCGTACATTATTACATGTTGACACATTTTATAAATAGTTCATTCCCGCATGTTCCCTTGTAATGGTCGAACATTACACTATTTGATTTCTGGGTCGTGACATTTTACGAAATGGTCAAAACTATAGCTTCCCATGCTTGTACATTTACATTTCAGTCGTACAATCAAGGTCGATTGATCGTGACGGGAAAGCTGGTCGTCATATAATATATTAAAATATTGAATTTTGCAAGCATCTCTAACTAAGACTGTGATACTCCATTTTCAGGCGCAACCAGTTACGTGAAGAGTAACAAGAAACAGGTCCTACATCAGAAGTTGCAACATCCCCCCTCTATTTTGGTTAAATTACTTGAGATTGCCGTTGGGTATAAGTGCCTTTAAATAAGCATAGTCCCTGGTCTACATTGAATCGAATTAATATAGGACAGTTCATGGGTTGTTACCAACAACTTTACCTCATGAGCGACCTGTCTGCGCCCCTGGAACTCGTGACAACTGAAGTGAAAGTCGAGAAGATCGAGTAGATTAGAAAGGACGTAGTTGAGCCAACCCCGGCCATTAAACTTTGTCGCAGCTTCGTTGATTGCTATCAAAATGAATCACAATCCACTTTTGCAATTTCCTATGTGTTTTTAAAAGTCTAATGTAAATCGAGGATGAACGATTGGCTCATTATCTAATCAAGATTAGGTTTGTTCCAGATTGAGCCCAGGGCAATTTTAACATGAGATTAGGGTACCAGATATTTCGATTTTGATCCAAAGCATTTTATACGCAACTCCAAATAATTTCCGAAATTTGCTATTAAATTCTGAACACAAAAAAAATTGGCAATGCAAGAATTATTTAGCAACAACGCAAACGCCATAAATATAGCTTCATAAGTGCTCGAGTGCTTGGATATATGTTTTCAAACACCCCGGACGCATTTTTTTAATGTTACCAACTCTGGATTTGACTTTAATTATTAACTTTTTGTTATAATTTGTTTGTTAATAATTTTATTTTTTATTTTTTTATAAGAACAAAATTTTTTTTTTTTTTTTTTTTTTACGGATCAGGACGACAAGTCTGGAATCCAGCCCAAATGCCTTCATACCCAGACTATGCCGACGGAAGTTTATGGATCAATTTTCTTTGTAATAGAGATCACCATTTTGTATACCATGTGTTGTGGTAGACTTCCTTTCATCACTTCCGTTACTTATTAGATGGTATTACCGGAGTTGAGATTTAACGCCATCAACTGGGCGTTTGATTGGGGAAATTTGTTTGAAGGCCAAATTGTAATATATCATGCCCGAAATGAAAAGACGGGAAGGGAATTTTGATGGTTCGCTGTCGAAAACTAAGGTTGAGGCACTCACTGTTATTTTTTCTTTTTGCCTACTGCTCTCTTGTTGGTAGTTTTGGATGTTGACGAGTCTGTAGATGTTGTATCTTCTCTGCTACGTTTGCTGGTCAGATCGACAATTGGCGGCTGCATATTCGATTCCAGATATGCTGGAGCAGATGTTGTTTCCTCTGGTGTTTCCTCGAAGACCGATGATGTTGTTGTGTCAAAAGACTCGATGTTGTGAATCTTCACTTTAACGTATGCTTTCCCCATTGAAGGCGGGTTGAACGGAGTGTTGCCGATGGTAGATGTTTCTTTGAGTCGGAACAGTTGCCTGGCCATTCTCGATGGTGGTGTTTTGAGCGGGCTGATCTTTTCGACGTCCTCGCATTCTGACCAGTTTTCGATCTCTCGCAGACATTTGGATTCAGATTCAGAAGTCGATACTTCAGTCACATCAGCAACTAAGTTGGTAGGTTGTGCGACAGTCTGTGAGGCTGTTTGCACAGGCCTTTTTCGTCGAGGATTGGTCCAGTCGTTTGCAGGGAGAGTGATTGGTGGAAAATCTTTCTTCCTCTGGAGACACTCTTTTTGTAGATGACCCGGTGTTTTGCAGTATTTGCAGACAGCGTCGTTTGTGCATTCCGAGTACCCATGCCCTGATTGTAGGCATTTCCCACATGTCGGCGTGTAAAGTTCCCTTGGAAGGAAGGTTTTACACCACATGCCATCGATTAGTACATCCCCGGGCAGACGGTCTTTTTTAAATTCGTCAGTGAGAAACGAGGTGTGCCCATTGTAGATCGTGGTGCCACGGTACCAGTTCCCTATCGCACTTCAAACTTTTCCACAGCCGAGCTGGTTGATCTTGGAGACGGCTTTGGCATACGAAGTCTCCGCGGGAATTCCTCTTAAGGAGATTCGTATTGGAGCTTTTTCGGGCAGAGATACAACAATTGTACTCTTAGTGGTTTGTATTTGCCCGCCTGTAGCTGTGAGAAAACTCTCCCGGCAACTTGCATCTGGGTTGCCAGTTGCAGCAGCAAATGTCAAGATCCAGGTGCCCTTGCGACCTTCAAAGAGCCCCACAATGTTCTTGCAGAACTCTTTGGTCGACTCGTTGTTGTTGAGGACGTCCATCAATGCTGGGAAGTCGAAGTCTTCTTCGGTCTTCAGGAACAGAGTTCGAGGACGGGTGGTTGTTGTTGTAGCATCTTCGGCAGGAGCAGGAGTTGATGAGGCGGCGGCGGCGTAGTTCATTTTCTTCGTCTTTCGGTGATCCTTTCGCTATCGAGGACCTAACCCAGTGAAGGGTTGCCTTAATCAAATAGCGATATTGTTTGAAAATAAAGTCTGCAATACATTTTCAGATAACCGATATTTGGTTTCTAATAATAGCAATGTATTCCAAATCAACAAATACCTAATTCTTAAAATACGTACAATCAATTTTGTTGCATTTTTACAATGTACGCGTGTACAATTATTTACGACAAAGGTGAATGGAATATTGTTGAAAATTTAAAATTGGTTTGTAATGATTAAAATCAATTGAATGAAATTGAAACTGTAAATCTTAAGATGCTTGTTAATTAATAAAGCTACGCTCTATGTATTTGTAATAGTATTCTCTCTAGAAAGTTATATATTTTTTTCGAAGTGAAAGGCGTGATAAGGAAATTATATTCACTTGACAACAAAAAGTTATTATATTTGTATCTGAAATAGGTTTGCAAAATGGTCAAAATGGTGTATTTTGACATTCTTTGGTGTTCAATTTCTTTGTTAATTAAACAATGCCAAATTAAATTTGAACTGGTGCAGATAAACGTCAAATTTCTAAAGTCCAAAAAAGGTTCAATTTCAATTTCAAAGTTTAATTTTGCTTAACAACTGAAACTCGAGTCGATCTATTGCAACTCTCTCTTAAGTTAGTGATTTCAGTTATCTATATTTCTTGAAATATTGTCAAATATCGAACTTTCAGTTTTCAACGAACATTTTAGAAATAAACTCACATTGCCCAGAAGTAGTAGCGGGCAATGTAACAAGAAAATCAAATCTGCATTATAGTTTATTTCAACATTCTATACATCTTTTTTGATTTTATGTATTATAAGCCAGTGGTTCCCAACCTTTTTACCCTGGCGGACCGGTAAATTTAAATTAAATGTACTCGCAGACCGGAAAAAATTGAAATGACCGTAACAGAAAAGAATAACATTTATTTGCGTAATATAATGCAATGTCGGGCACTCAATCTGCTTCTGGACAAAATGGGCAAACCTAAAAACATTTCACACGAAGAAAAACTATCAAATAATGTGCCGGCAAAAAATTGAAATGAGTGAAACATAATGAGTGAGTTTGAATTGCGTAATGAAATGCAGTGCTGGGCCCCCATTATGCGCGAGAACGGCACACATAAAACATCTCACACAAAAAAAGGAAATGCTAAATCATGTACAAACACGATTAACTATAGTGAGAATTTTGCTGCTGTTTCGTTTCCAATAAAGGATTTCATACGATGTCTCAAAAAGTTCTGCAACACGTAACTCTGCAGCGGCGTGCAGCCGATTCCTTCGGTTCGTTTTAATTAAAGCTAGTGATGAAAATCTTATTCCATATCGCGCATATTTCATATTCATTATTATTGTATACATGATAATACAGTCGTCGGCAACTTGGCACCAGGCTCAAAATCCTACTGCGCCTGCTCAAAATACTGGGAAAGATCTCTGCGGCCCATGCTTTTTTGCGCGTCTCGTGACCACCTGCAGGGTGGCAGCAAGTTTCTATTTTACTGGAATATTATACTGCACTTGACTGTTTTTTGGTTTGAACGAAGAAATAAGCGTAAATTCTTATATGGATGGTCATATTAAGCAGGAAAAGCACGGAGGTCAGAAAAAGCACGTTCCCAATTTTTAGATTTCTGAATCTTGCGAGAGATTTGATTTAGCGCATTTGCGAGGAATCGAAGCCGAATAAGCGAAAAGTGTGATTACTCGGCCCAAGATGTCGCGAAAGACGTCGCCAAGATGTCGCAATATGACGGCGAAAGGGAAATTGCGTAATAAACCAACGCAACATCGTCTTCGGAAAAGCGATTGAGACGGCATAAACACAACAAAATGGAATTTCTCGCGGACCGACACAAAAGCTTCGCAGACCGGCGGTTGGGAACCACTGTATGTATAAGCCATGCTAATATAAAACATAAATAGTGCAAAATATTGCAAAGACTACCATACCGTGTTATATAATGTTTAACCAAAATAGTGAAACTCATTAATCATTTTAGAACATTTCAACTTCTTTTCAGTACTGAAGATATAAAGTGATTAATTTTTACAAATCTTCATCACACTTTTTATATACAGACATGCATAGTCAGACTTTCTGTTTGGGAACCTTTGAAAAATGTACTCGAAATAGTTCGAATTGCAAAACATATCAATTATTGTCAGGAATAATAAATTCCCAAATAATAATTACCAATGTTACTAATAAAATTCTTGTAATACTAATGTAGCATATTAAACATCATACGATGTCCGATTCCAGAAACATTCGGAAGCTAATTCTATTCAATTTCTGAACTATCTCTGCAAAGTTGTCTGATCCTTTGTGACACTTGCCATTGGTATATGACGATGTAAATTTATTATAAATTTGATTATCAACAGTTTTTCTATTGTATGTTGCATAACATTTAAAATATAAGTTTTTCTTCAAAAAGAAGATTGTCACGACATCCATTACATTGCTTTTATTCCCAATTTGATCGTCTGCTGAAGTCAGAGATTGATTTTGCTTAAATAAAAAATAACTGTTAAGGTATTGTATTTAAATTATGAGTAAATTGTTAGAAAAAGACCATGAATAAATAAAACCGCATTTGGGGAACTCTGCTACGCCGTTGGAATTTATATTGGCCCTGTGAAACTAATATGGGGTCATTTAGTTTTTGATAATATGTATGTAAACTTTTAATAGAAAACTTCAGGTGAGCAATCAATGTTCGTGAGCAAATAATTTATTCATGATTTTAAATTACGTATAATATGTACGTGTATGGAAAATGGTTGAATTCTAAATTTGGATTGAATAGAATAAATTACTACTTTGATTGAATACCACAACGTAGTAACTATTTCAAATCTGTCTTATTAGACTTACTTATGCGTTGAATTTGTGAAGACTAAACAGGTCTGGACTAAAAACCATCTTTAGAGCGAATCATCACCTAGAAGAATAAGAAAAAAACTGAATAATAATATTAAGATACTCTAATTGCTTTAACGTTTTAATATTCACTTGATCATCACAATCATCATCATTTTTTATTTTAATTCTATTATGCATCCGAATTTCGAAACATTGAATTCTTGTTACTTCTCTATTTAGAATAGATAGATTTGAAAATAAGATATATATATATACCTTACATTATTATATAATTAACTTTCGATTTCATATCGAGTTACAAAAAAAAATTCAGTGTATACAGATTATTCCTAGTGCTCGATAATAAAACTATGTCATAACTTTTTTTTAAATTAGTTTTGTTAAACTCACTACGTTGTTTAACGGAATCTCATCCGATTGTATTGCACTAATACTTGATTCGTCAATTTCCCAACCGTCACGAAATAGTCTTCCTTCGACAATACTAAACAGCTGGAAGAGGTTTCTTGCTATATTTTGAGATGGCTGATTTTCCTCTTCTAGAATGAGTGTCCGGATCTGTATAATTAAAAAAATACAAATAATATAATGTACTAAAATAATTTTGACGTGACATTACGAATCAAAAACGTGAGAAAGTAGAACCCGTATATAATTGTAAACATTTTCTCACAATAGAAATAAATAACAACCGCTGCATGAGATACACATTCTTTCTAAGCAAATAAATAATTTGTTATTTGGGTTCAATCCAATCTTTTGTTTCTCTTTGGTGATGATATAAAATCGCGAGACATCTTTTTTGCTTATTTGCGTTGCATTATATGTTTGGCTAAATATATATGCCGGGGTATTGAGGGCTATTTCAACAACTCTCCGAATTCTCTTTCGAATCCACTAGTATTGAAATATTCAAATTTATTGAATGAAATATCTGCAAATATTTTTCGATAATTTCCGCATGCATCAATATAAATATTTTCTGCTTATTACGGGTACAGAAAAGTTACATGTACCAAATAATGTAAACTGACGCATTACACGCCATTTACTTTAAACAGAGCATTCTAAATAAAAGCCACTGCTAAGAGAGGAGTTCGGCATTACACAGTTTATTTATTGCATTGTGGGTGAGGTAGTGGACAATGGATTTATTTATAGATTTTTAGACCCAGCAATCTACTTCATTGTACTGAAGAAAGTCTTAATTCGTTTAAGTTTCAAGAGGCTAAAATACACCACACTTATATGTATCGGGGTTTAGCAGAGTCAACAAACTGATAATAAAGGGGGCGATTAAACTTGTGTTATGTGAATCCAAAATGTATGCATGAACTCGACACTTCTTACTTGCGACTCGTTTTCACTTACACTATTATTCCATTTGTCAAATACATTATTTTGGCGCTAAATTGTCTTTATATGCCGCATTCACCACTTTGAGATTGATATCATGGATTCAATCGAATATTTAGCTCATATATTTCAAAACTGAAGACAAAAATAAGAAGTCGTGGCCAAAGTTTTCACATTGTTTACGATATATTTCATGTAATATTTTTTACAAAATCGATATGATATTATTTTATTTTCAACTCATTTTTGAAAAATTTTAAGCACATTAACATTAAAACTCTCCACAGCTACTTGAACAATAATAAAAAAATAATTCTTTTATTTTTGTCATTATCGATATGATATTTGTTTTTTTAAGTTAATTTTTCAAAATTTTTAAGCATGTTCAGTAAAATATAACTACCCAAAAATTAGAAAAGGTTCAACAGCATTTCCGTAATAAATTGCGCCTTCAATAAAATTATAATTAAAACACACACTACATAGCATGCTTCCTTTTTAAAATATCTTATAACATTATTTCAACTTCTTACTTTTAATCCAAATTTTGTAGCTCCCTCAGCAAATGCATTCAGTTTGTCACTGGACAGACTAGAGTTGCAAATCCTCACGGTCGCTGCTTCAGTGGCTGAGGCAACTTGGGCAAATTCGTGGAATGCGTCGGACTCCATGGTCTTATCTTGAAGGTCCAAATAATTGATCTGTGAAATGAGAATGAAGCTATTAACTTTAATGTTACGGCGAACTTGTGAGTTTTTATCGCTTGTGTTTATAATATAACCCGTTGAATAATAAGGTGTATCAAAATAAAACAGCGTGTTAGGAAACCGACATAATAAGCAAAGCTACATTTATATCTTATGTTTGCTAAAGAAGTGATTAAATATACGATCAATGAAATTCAAATGAGGTATTTGTATTTACTTTGTGATATCAAATTTCAAACAACTTATATCGACATTTTTACAAATCTATATTCAATAGCTATTGGATTTATTTACCTGCCTTATCATGATACATACTCGTGTATTACACGCATGATTGGAAATGTATTTGAAAACACATCTAGCATGTTTCACTTTAAAAATGCATAGACATAAAAAAAATCTAACAAAAACGTACAAATACATATTTACTCCATATTATCAATTAACCCAAATTAATTTGCACATTCCTTACTATTAGCATTAAATAACCTTTCTCTTGAAACCGGGATTATCTTATGATTTTTTTTAATTGGGGCATTGGCATACGAGTTTAGTTTTTGTTTTCATGTAATAACGAACTTCAAATCACAATAGTCCATTTTTTTTTATATTCTGAAACTAGCTGGATTGAGCCCAGACATGACGATACCTCTCGTACAAAATTTACATTTCGTTTAAGATTGTATCTTGAAATAAATTCTTACACTTAGTCAAACATGAAATCCTTCAGGAATCAAGAAATAAAAACGTGAGGGTTAATATTTTTGCAATCTTTGGCGAGTATATCTTCCGATAATTTAAAAGAACAGTGTGATTCACATTCAAAATACATAAACATAGTAAAAAAGTTTTATCAACAAGATTTCTCTACTTTCAAACCACGATCAGCAGCTCCTTGTTCAAATGCATTCAGTTTTTCGCTTGTTGGACTACAGTTGAAAAACAAAACATATTCTGTTTTTGTAATTGAGGTAACTTCAGCAAATGTGTGGAATGCTTCGCACTCCATGGTCTTGTCTGATACAATTAAATTATCAATCTGTAAAATTAAAAAATAAACGATTATCTCAATATCATGAATTCAAATGTGTATTCAAGATGACTCTCAAATTGCATTTGACCAATGAATATGATTGCTTACGAATTCCATAGTGAGTGATAAAAGGGAGTTTCCATATTACATCGGAAAGTAGAAGCCAGTTCCCGTAATCGAAACGGAACCTCCATAATTTTCAGAACTATTATGCATAACTAGCGTAATTACAACCTTCAAATTATCTCCACGTATGGTTGATAGTTCGGCGCTTTATCAGAAAAAAAAATTGTTTATTGCGTATATGTAATAGAAAACGCAAAACTTTTTTTCCTTTTCTTTTTCCTTTAATCATCTAAATATTCATTGGATATTTTATTAAACAATAGTTAGGACTGTGGATATTTTTGTCTAGCAGTGCGTTTGAGGGGGAAACTATTCAATTTGCCTATTTTTTGCAACATAAAAATTGTATAAAATATACCGATTTAAATAGAATAATTGCAAACTCATAAAATATTTTTATTTCAGAATTCTACTTTTACAATGCCCTAGTAATGCATTTATTAAACAAACAGTAATAATATTTTTGAAAAATTGGGCTGAAATAAGAAGATTCTCTCCCGGGTGGGTCAACATTTATCTCTAACCAGACTCTAGTAGTGAAATGTCAATAAATTTGCTTCTGTACTTGAGGCCACTGGAAAAATTTGGTTCCGTTTGTATTGTATTTTTAAACGATTAAAACAAACTAATTTATTCTGATCGGAATATCATTTTGTCATTTGCTTTATTCACTGAGGAGGAAGCAGCACTGGATAATTTTAGAGAAGTTGTTGTTTCTCATATTCATTCTTGGGAATAAAAAAAAATCAATAAGACCGATTACTTATAATATAATCATGGACCTCTTGACCGGTCCAGAACGCCCATGCACTCAATTCTGTTGATTAATAGATGTCGTTTTCGACCATCCAGATCTTGCAAATGTATTAAAAAAAATCCTAAGTTCACGCGTAATTTGAATATGATTTCTTACAATCAATTTTTTCACATTACATCTGTATTTCAACCGAAAAAAAAAATATTAGAACCAAAATATTTTCCCATACTTTATTGACAGTATTCTCTCTAAAAATCATCTCTTCAGTCACCACGTTGGTACAAAGTAAAAATCAGCTTCCACGCTCATACTATATCTGGATGGTATCAGTCGTGTGTTACAATGTTTGAATTTGCATTTTGGCAAGTTACTACGTCCCCGCGTACCAACAGTGACCATGCAGATCGACGCAACCTATCGGGTGAAGTTGTTTTGGGGTGGTTTGAACTAACTTTCCGCCATTTCAGTCTTTTCCCGTTTTTTTTTTACTTTAGAACTTCCAACTGGACAAACCCCTATCTGGCTCTTTTAATGATATTACACTGTGAAATATTCATATCGTTGGCGTGTGGATGTGCCTTAATAATCTTGACATGGAACACTATGAAATTATTTGGTGATAAATGAGAAACATTAACAGGGGTTCAATAGGACGTGATCCATCGAGCACAATTCTCCAGTTTTTTTTTATTCATTGAGGGTCTAGAGAAGCGTTTTGGTTTATGTAATATTCAGGCTTGTCGATTGGGCTTATTTTTCTATCCCGTCCTATCCCCACCTCATAGAAAATTATGCCTGTCCCATTCCATCCCGTGAGCTTCTTATTTAAATACAATTCAATAAATTTACAAAATTCATAAAAATGTATATATTTAGGTCTATATATCTGATGTACACAAAGTTTATAAACAGGCCAAGTAACCAATCCGCTTTTCTCTGGCCCTATCGCTATTAATTTTCTGAGTTCTAAAGACTCCATCCCAGATCGGAAAGCCAAATTTTGTTTTTGTCCAGAACCTAGATTTTGTCTTGCGCTATATAATGTAATATTATTTATTATGTTATATATTTAATATATCTGTTGATTTCGTTGTTTAGTTGAACACAGTGAAAAGTTCACTGATTGCCAAAAACAAAACTTTCGTTCGTTTTTTGTTGCTTTTAAAGAATGCAAAATCGTAGTATTTCCCGTCTATTACATAAATTTATATTGATTTTACTCCCATGACAAGGGTGATCAAGTTATAACAAGTTTTCACTCAGGAGGCACGTCTTCGGCTCACAAGACGTAGAAGTGCAGGGGGATGATAGCGAGACTCGGTATAATTTACGGAAATAAAGTTTACCGACGTATAACCGATGTTCACAGCAAAAAGTTTTAGCGACTTTTTAGTATTCCGAATTCTTTATTTGATTCTCGGTTGTTTTGGATGAATTCTTTTGAATACAATGAAATAACCATGAAAATATTGAGTTATTAGTGTAATGAGCTCTGTACTGTACTCCGATATTTCTTGAAAATTTTGCACTTATAGCCCGGTGCGACTTGTGTAGGATAAAACAAAAACAATCTGAGCAATTTGATGACAGTGCGTCCCATAATCCGGTGCGCGTTGTGGTCCGTAAAATTGTGGAATCCTTAAAATATGCGGAAAATGTCAAAAGCGGGATATGTTCAAGCGACAAGCGCTGATATAATATATGAGGTTTGAGATATAGCATATTCAAGAATTTAATCCAATTTAATTGCACATCATTGATCTTTTGCACTGTTGAAGTTCTTATTTAAAAATTACTATTGAGCTATTTAATAGCCAACTTTTTTATTCGATCAAAATGCACAAGAATTTATCCCAAATAAATACATTTATCCTTCCGACCGCTCAAATCCCTGATCATTTTATGGGTATTTTTAAACTTATTTTTTTTTGTCAACCATTAAGCCCTAAAGCTTTACTCATGGCTTTTTAAAAGCGTCTGCTAGAGTTCTATTCAGCAATATATCTTTAAAACACACTACTCGAAAAAAAAATTTTGCAAAAAAATTTCAAAAATTTCTAAAAAAAAAATTGGACTTTGAGATATTCTGTGTACAGTAGAGGGTTAATAATTAATTCCTAATTAATTAATTTTTTCTTCAACGTTTTCGTCAAGTTTTTCCTAACATAACAATAACGGAAACGACTATTATAGCATAAATGATTATTACACTGAAATTCACAATTGTATTTACAGTATTGTCAAGTTCAAGGTCCAATTACCGACTTTGATGACGTCACAGCTCTTATTATTACTGCACAGACCACCCCCAATGCAAAAAAAAAATAGATTTTTCGACGGAAATCCGCGTAGAACGACGTAAACAATCCCATACGCGCATTTGCGCGTTAAAATTACTATTAATTTTACGTTTTTTTCACATACAAAAAATCTCCATACCTCTGCCAACTATGGAGCAGTCGAAATCATATTTATCAAAACAACACAGCGCCAGGGATGGCCAGGGATAGTTAGTATGACTGAAAATACAGGCTAAAACAATAACGAGAATATCGGTTGGAAACCGAAGACTTATCGATCGATAGTTAGGGGATCCCCCAAAACAGAAACTGCAGTTTCGATTCATCCGCTCTTGTAACTTGGCACTGCGCATCGCACACACACACTCGGCGGGTTTCAAAATTCTCTCGTTTCACAAAAATCTAGATCACTATATCAATAATTGATTGATAACTCGCTAATTATACGACATACTTCGCCCAAAATCGATAGGCTTCTGGTCCGAGATAAGATGAATGCACATGCAAAATCTGGAACAGATTCAATCCCGCTTTCGTGAGATATCGCGTGCATCTAACAGACACACAGACAGACATACATACAGACAAATACCTATCAATATACTTACCGATCTTAAGATCGATAAGTAATAAGTCCTTCATAAAGGAGTATTTCCTGTCTGAGCTGAGTCGACATTTTTAGACGTCTGACAGGCGATTTTGAAATCCACGCTATTTATATGATTCGCACTTCGCGTCACGGCTGGAAGGTTTTATCGCTTCTCTCATATCAGGGCATTGCGTTAATAAACAGCTAAGAGCGATATTAACAGTAGGTTACCATGCGCTAGCCTTAATAGCGTTGAAAAGCCCATATGGGCTAACGTGCGGCGAGAGAGTTCACACCATTCTTTCCGAATGCAAAAAATTGAATAAAGATCTATACGCATGCATTTTGGAATATTTACCTTGCATTTTACATCATAATTTAGAATCGCGTAAAGCACGCCGGTATACAGAATTGAATTGAAACACACTCTGATACGACTGATTTTTAAAAGTTAGATAAACAATTTTCCATTATCTTACTTTCAGAGCAAAATCAGTTGCTCCTTGTGCAAATTCATTCAGCTTTTCACATGTCAGATTACAGACACCAAACTTTACTTTCCCTGCTTCAACGGTTGAGGCAACTTGAGCGAATTCATGAAATGCTTTTGGCCTCATGATCTTGTCTGCTAGGTATAAAGTATTGATCTGAAAAATATTATGGAAATAATAATTTTAATGTAACCGATGTTCACAGCAAAAAGTTTTAGCGACTTTTTAGTATCCCGAATTCTTTATTTGATTCTCGGTTGTTTTGGATGAATTCTTTTGAATACAATAAAATAACCATGAAAATATTGAGTTATTTGTGTAATGAGCTCTGTACTGTACCCCGATATTTCTTGAAAATTTTGCACTTATAGCCCGGTGCGACTTGTGTAGGATAAAACAAAAACAATCTGAGCAATTTGATGACAGTGCGTCACATAATCCGGTGCGCGTTGTGGTCCGTAAAATTGTGGAATTCTTAAAATATGCGGAAAGTGTCAAAAGCGGGATATGTTTAAGCGACAAGCGCTGATATAATATATGAGGTTTGAGATATAGCATATTCAAGAATTTAATCCAATTTAATTGCACATCATTGATCTTTTGCACTGTTGAAGTTCTTATTTAAAAATTACTATTGAGCTATTTAATAGCCAACTTTTTTATTCGATCAAAATGCACAAGAATTTATCCCAAATAAATACATTTATCCTTCCGACCGCTCAAATCCCTGATCATTTTATGGGTATTTTTAAACTTATTTTTTTTTGTCAACCATTAAGCCCTAAAGCTTTACTCATGGCTTTTTAAAAGCGTCTGCTAGAGTTCTATTCAGCAATATATCTTTAAAACACACTACTCGAAAAAAAATTTTGCAAAAAAATTTCAAAAATTTCTAAAAAAAAAATTGGACTTTGAGATATTCTGTGTACAGTAGAGGGTTAATAATTAATTCCTAATTAATTAATTTTTTCTTCAACGTTTTCGTCAAGTTTTTCCTAACATAACAATAACGGAAACGACTATTATAGCATAAATGATTATTACACTGAAATTCACAATTGTATTTACAGTATTGTCAAGTTCAAGGTCCAATTACCGACTTTGATGACGTCACAGCTCTTATTATTACTGCACAGACCACCCCCAATGCAAAAAAAAAATAGATTTTTCGACGGAAATCCGCGTAGAACGACGTAAACAATCCCATACGCGCATTTGCGCGTTAAAATTACTATTAATTTTACGTTTTTTTCACATACAAAAAATCTCCATACCTCTGCCAACTATGGAGCAGTCGAAATCATATTTATCAAAACAACACAGCGCCAGGGATGGCCAGGGATAGTTAGTATGACTGAAAATACAGGCTAAAACAATAACGAGAATATCGGTTGGAAACCGAAGACTTATCGATCGATAGTTAGGGGATCCCCCAAAACAGAAACTGCAGTTTCGATTCATCCGCTCTTGTAACTTGGCACTGCGCATCGCACACACACACTCGGCGGGTTTCAAAATTCTCTCGTTTCACAAAAATCTAGATCACTATATCAATAATTGATTGATAACTCGCTAATTATACGACATACTTCGCCCAAAATCGATAGGCTTCTGGTCCGAGATAAGATGAATGCACATGCAAAATCTGGAACAGATTCAATCCCGCTTTCGTGAGATATCGCGTGCATCTAACAGACACACAGACAGACATACATACAGACAAATACCTATCAATATACTTACCGATCTTAAGATCGATAAGTAATAAGTCCTTCATAAAGGAGTATTTCCTGTCTGAGCTGAGTCGACATTTTTAGACGTCTGACAGGCGATTTTGAAATCCACGCTATTTATATGATTCGCACTTCGCGTCACGGCTGGAAGGTTTTATCGCTTCTCTCATATCAGGGCATTGCGTTAATAAACAGCTAAGAGCGATATTAACAGTAGGTTACCATGCGCTAGCCTTAATAGCGTTGAAAAGCCCATATGGGCTAACGTGCGGCGAGAGAGTTCACACCATTCTTTCCGAATGCAAAAAATTGAATAAAGATCTATACGCATGCATTTTGGAATATTTACCTTGCATTTTACATCATAATTTAGAATCGCGTAAAGCACGCCGGTATACAGAATTGAATTGAAACACACTCTGATACGACTGATTTTTAAAAGTTAGATAAACAATTTTCCATTATCTTACTTTCAGAGCAAAATCAGTTGCTCCTTGTGCAAATTCATTCAGCTTTTCACATGTCAGATTACAGACACCAAACTTTACTTTCCCTGCTTCAACGGTTGAGGCAACTTGAGCGAATTCATGAAATGCTTTTGGCCTCATGATCTTGTCTGCTAGGTATAAAGTATTGATCTGAAAAATATTATGGAAATAATAATTTTAATGTAATTAGGAACTTTAATTACACTGAATACAATATATTTTATACATAAAGATAGTAAAATTTGAATATGTATTTGTCGTGAATAATTTATATGGGTAAGATATTAAACAGCCGGAAGATTCTAACAAAATTTGTTAGTCGGGGTCTGTGGGGTCATATACTCGTAAGTGTATAGAAGATATGGTGACCTCAAATTAACACAGATCTAATAATTTGATAATTAATCAGATTTAAAAGAAGGGAGTTTATTTTGTTTACACTCCAACCTACCAGTAATATAGGTTATGCGTTTCAGAAAAGTTATATTTAGAATATGTTCCAAGGAATCTCCTCAGCCATCATAACGACAACCTTGCATCCGCTGCGCAAAGTTGTCAATTATCATTTTACTATAAGATTTTATATAAGTTTTTAAATATAACACAAGTATTGTAGTATAATGTTACGAACGAAAATGTGAGTGTTTGAACATGTGAAGCGTATGGCTGCTCTTAACTTGAAATATTCGATGAGCCATAAAAAACTACGGAAAAAAAGTCTATTCCACTTGTTGCTGCAAAATACAAAACCTCGGAAAGATTTTATTTGATGCGTTTGGCATTTTTTCTCTTTTAAACTATCCTTAAATAATGCAAATGCATGACACATTACAAGATTCTTAGGGCTGCAAATGATAAGTGCTCAGCATGAAAGGTGTTAATGTGCCTTCTCGTGCTATTGCAATATACACGCATTAACAAAATAATAATTTTTTAAAGGAATTTACATTTAGTAAAAAAAAAAAACCAACAATGTTTCCCAATGCAAGCGTATTTAGCGACAATAAATATTGTAAATTGTTTTATATTAAAATATTTGTGTTCGTAATAGTTAACACTGAAACCCCATATAACAAAGTATATAAATACAGCTATATCTTGTTATAAATATATTGTTTTTATTTGCAATCTAAAATATTACCAACGTAAAACTTTTGTAAGATCAGAAATAATTTAATTCGAACCAATAATAATGCATTTATTATTGTTAATTGTTGTTAATTTACATGGTTGTATCCATTCATGTCATATGTAATATCGTCCTAGGACTGATCAGCCTCATTGTTCGCGTAAAATATATAGATTTTTCATAGTGCGTTGAATTATTCAACGGCCAACGCAATCATACTTATCGGTCAGTGTTTAAAAACAAGGGTATCACGGTATATCCATGGGATCACAAAAAAAATTGGCGGATCATTGAGCATGATATTTATAATATAAAAAAAAGATAATGCAGTTCAAACCGTTAGGAGTGATACCAACAGATTTGAATTCCAAATATAACCCGAGGATAATCCTAACACTATCATTGCGTCCATTGTATAATGTAATTTGAAATTTACATAAAATCCTGGTCCATATGGAGCAATGACATTTTTCCGGTTTTATCAATTCATGCTCTTATTTATACATGAATCGCAAAAAACTGCCCGAACTCAAAGAAAGAAATATATGTGATTTTATTCGCCACTCATTCCAAAATGTCGCCGCATATAATATCCATTAAATTAAACCAAAAAACATATTTGAGCAACAATCTGGAGAAAATTGTTGCGAAACAGCCCAAATTTACGATAGTTGATCAAAACAGCGTTAATTTAATAAATAACTATGTAAATCGCATGTGAAGAAAATGTAATTCAAAACTCATCAAGTGTGATTCACATTTGAAAATACAAAAACATGATAAAAAACGTTATCAACAAGTTTACATTTTCTTACTTTTAAGCCACGGTCAGCAGCTCCCTGCCTAAATACTTTCAGTTTTTCACTTGTTAGACTACAGTTGATGAACGATACTTGTCCTGCATTTGTAATTGAGGCAACTTCAGTAAATTTTCGGAATGCTTCACCCTTCATGGTTTTGTCATATAGGGTTAATTTCTCGATCTGTAAAATAAATATTCAACGATTATATATATATGGTTAGCTATGATGTATTTCTAGCATGATTAGAAAAAAATAAAGATGAACCAATCGATACAATTTATAGGATGATTTGAATAATATGTGTCGTTTGTATTGTATTTTTAAGATAATAAAACTTATTAATACTGCTCGGGTAATAATTTGACGACTAATTCAGTCTCCCAAATGCTTTTTTTTTTAATTTTTTGTTATTTTGAAAGATTCCTTTGATTAAAATACAATAACCATAAAAATATTTAGTTATTTGTGTAATGAGCTCAGTACTGTAATCCGATAATGCCTAAAAACCGTCGAACCTTCATATGCTAAAACAAAAACAATCTAAGCAATTTATTGACACTGCGTAATATAATCCGGTGCGCATTTTGTTCCTTAAATGCGGAAACTCCACGCATTTTAAAAAAATGTTAAAATTGCGATGTGTTCAAGTGCTGATATAATTATTATATGAGGTTTGATATATCACATTTGAGAATTTAATACAAAAGAATAGAACATGACTTTTAAACCACTGATAACGTTGCATTTGACAGAATACTATTGGCCTATTTAATACCCTACTTTTTTTATTTAACCGCAATTCACAAGAAGTTATCACAATTTACCACAAAAACTATTCGGAATGCAAAACTCAAATGAAGAGTTCATTACTGTTATTTCACTGGAACCAAATTTCCGGGCGAGATAAAAAAAAAACTAGTTATCGTCGTGCTCGTGGCATAAGTTATACATCTGTCGATGGAAATGTGTCATATAAAAATAATATATACGGAGATAGAGGTATTTATTTATTAAGGTATTTATTATAACCACGCAACGCTGACGAAAATAATCGGCATTCAGAAAAATTGCAATAGAATGCCGCTATTAGCAACTTTTCCGTCTTTTTTTTTTAATTTTTCAATTTTTTTTTTTCCATTCGATTGTTCTCCTTTGAAAAAGTCAAGAATTTATATTTTTAGTCTTACAGTGTGTATGAAAGGGCATATTATCGAATAAAGATATTTTTAAGAGATAGTATTATAACGGGTGCGTAGTATGTACGGTAATTTGTATGACGCAGGTATGTGACGTCACAATGGCGCACTGTGACTTACGCAGAAATGTGCCTATGACTTAGGAACATACGCAATTTTGCAACTTCACTATATACACCAGTCCTGAGAACCAAACATTTGAAAAACAAATGTAATTCCCAGTGTCTACGATGTCTAATCCAAAAAATAGCTTATCTGTTTCAATAACATTATTTTTATGTTCAAAACATATATGTCATCAATATACTGCGCTCTGCTCTCGTACCTAAAATAAGGCTTTCCATATCTAAAAAATATGAGGAAAAAAAGAGCAATGCATCCTTGAATAAAAGCCAATCAATGTGAATTGGACTAACATAGTGAATATCACCATTGTACACTTTTCTACGCTGGAGTGTAAATTTCAAATTTATAAGCGATAAGATAGAATCTAAGATGCAAAAACTCGAAAATAGTTCCCAGATCTTATTTTGCTTTTGTGACATCACAATAGTCTTGCGTTAGACAATGACAATTCATTATGGCGAAACAATAGCAAGAATAAGCATGCCACACAAAATCTTCATTTTTATGGGGTTCGGAATTCTTGGGATAAAGTCTGATTCGGCAATTCGGTGACGATATGTTATTGTCTGCAACAGATTTCGCATTTAACATTGTCTTAACATGATTTGTCGTAAATTTATGGTGTCCGTCGTTTTATTTTCACTATTTTATCATGCCGCATTTTATTCTAGGAATTTTTGGTTGCGTATTCTCTTCTTGATTATTTTTAGCATCACTTGCAAGACGATTATATAATAACTCGTTTTCCCCAGTAAACTCAAATTTCCGAGCGCGAGAAAAAAATAGGTATCGAGGCTGAATACATACGCATGCAGAGGGATAATTGTGATATAAGGAGAATAAATACGGACAGAATATATTATTAATATCTATTATACTTAAGCTGCACGCGCAACAATATCTGAAAAAAAGTTTGTCCCAATTTTTGTACGTATTCCGCTTGTCTCATGAGTTCATTTGTCTCACGAGTTCCAAAAAAAAAAAAAATGTGTGCAGTCCCACCTCCTGCTACGTTTACCGGTGCTTCCGAGGTATGTACACCAAGATGACGCACAACCTGAACATAGTATGTCTACCAGGTTAGGGTTATCAGGTTGTGCGCCATCTTGGTGCACCGTATTTGGCGTTTTGTATCTATTTAAAAAGATTTGTCATTGTAGAAAAAGAAATATTTATATTTCATTTTCAATTTACTGAAATTGCATAATCCAAAAGTAAAATCATGAGTTCTTATCGAATTTAATAATAAGAATCCAAATGATTAAACAGCCAATTCTGAGTAGCAGAATTTTTATATACATTTGCCGCCAAAGTGATTGTTGTCAATGCGGAAGAATTGTTTTGAATTTTTTTTGGGAAAATGTTTGAAATATTTGGGGTAAACAATGATTTCGAAATATTAAATATTCTCGTATAGTATTTTTCTTCTATTATGAGACGTAAATTTATCTTGACTTCACTCCATGTCAAAGATGATAAAGTAGTAACAAGTTTTCACGCTGGGGGCACGTCCTCGGGTCACAAGACGGAATAATAGCGAGACTCGGGATAATTTGCGGAAATATAATTTACTGACTTATAACTGATATTCACGGCAAAAAATTTTAGCGACTTTTACATATCCCTAATCTTTTATTTCATTTTTGATTGTTTTGAAAGATCTTTTGATTATTGCATTGATTAATGCATTGATTGATAATTGTTGGTAATTTACCTCATTGTATCCAAACATCTCTTACGTTTTATCTTCCTAGGAAATGATCAGGCTCATTGTTCGCCTAAAATATATAGATTTTTCATAGTGCGTTAAATCGTTTGCGCGAACGCAGACATACTTATCGGTCAGTGTTTAAAACAAGCATATTACGGTATATCCATGGGATCACAAAAAAAAATTATGGATCATCGAGCATGATATTTTGGATATGATAACAAGATAATAGAGTACAAACAGTTCGGAGTGATACCGACAGATTTAAATTCACTTTTGAAAAAAATGAAAATAAATTGCAATGTTTCTGTAATATCGAATAACCCGAGAATATTCCGAACGCTATATTTTCGTCCATTATTTAATGCAATTTAAAATTTACCTAAAATGGTACAATGAAATTTTTCTGATTTTAATAATTTATGCACTTACTTATACATAAATCGGACAAAACTACCCGAACTCAAAGAAAGAAACACAGGTGATTTTATTCGCCACTCAATTCAAAATGTGGCCTCATATAATATCTAATACATTAAACCAACAAACATATTTAAGCAACAATCTGGAGGAAATTGTTGCGAAACATCTTAAATTTACGAATAGTTGGTCTGAACGGCCTTAATTTAATAAATACTCATGTAAATCGCACGTGAAGAAAATGTAATTCAAATCTCATCAAGTGTGATTCACATTTGAAAGTACATAAACATGATTTCTAGCATGATTAGGAATAGGAACGAATAAAAATGAGCTCATCGGAGCAATTTATATGATGATTTGAATTCTTTTAAATAAAAAAATTTGAATACTTTTGAAACACAACTATATATTAAAAGTCACTATCCGTATAATATTGAGAAGACGAAGATAAGTCTCGTGATACAACACAACCGCCCATAATTTTGAGAACGTTTATGCTTTACTGGCAAAATTAAAATTTCAGGATATTCAAATTTTCAAATTTTGTTGTATTTTGTCGTTTTTAGGAACGTTTAAAAACATTTCAATATAATCATTGTCAGCGCGCAAAACTTTTCTTGTTTTACTTGGGTTTTCCTTTTCTTTTTATCAAAAATTCAATAAATATCTAAGAAAGTTAGGAAATCATTTTATTTTAGTCTAGCAGTGTTTTTGAAAAGGCAAATGATGCAATTTAAGTGTTTCAAAAATATAGTAATCTACATTATCAATGTTTTTAATATTATGTGTCGTTTGTATTGTATTTTTAAAATAATAAAACCTATTAATACTGATCGAGTAAAAATCCGAGCGACTTTTTCAGTTTCCTGACCTGAGTGCTTTTTTTAATTTTTGGTCGTTTTGAAAGATTTCTTTGATTAAAATACAATAACCATAAAAATATTATTTGTGTAATGAGCATTATATATAATATTTATTTCTGATGTTTATTTTTGGGATTAGCAAACCGATAAGATGGTTTAAATATAATATGAATCTCGACCGCTATTAGCAACTTTTCAGTCTATTTTTTTTTTCAATTTTTCAATTTTTTATTTTTCTATTGATTGTTTTCCTTTAAAAAATGTAGTCTTACAGTGTGTATGAAAGGGCACATTATCGAATTAAGATATTTTCAAGAGATAGTATTATACCTTAACAATGGATTTATTAAACGTACAGGAAAGATAGTCTGTGATGAAACAGAAAAAGATACTCGGGCGAATGGATCTACATTTGCCTCTTACTAGACTTTAGTTGTGAAATGTCAAAATACATTTGCTTCTGTAATTGATGCCACTCAGATAAAGTTCAGGAAAAATTACTAATAGGTCCGGTTGATTTGTATTTTCATTAAAATTGATTATTTCTCCTAGGTTCATCATTACGCCATCAACTTTTTTCAACGTAGAGGGGTCGCAAACGGTTTATATAACAGGGGGAGTTTATTTCTGATGTTTATTTTTGGGATTAGCAAACCGATAAGACGGTTTATATATATTATGAATCTTGACCTTTAGTCCGATCCATAACGCTCACGCTCTGAATATTTTCGATTAATAGACGTCGTTTTCGACCATCCAGGTCTTGCCAAAGGAATTCAAAAGTCCTAAATTCCTGCTTACTTTAAATATAATTGTTTACACTCGATTTAATTTTACCCTAACAGTATTTCAATCGACCAA